GATAGAAACGTAGATAATTTCGAAATTTCAATTAATTACGTTTCTAATGGAATATAAGGGAATAGAAAAGATATTGATGTTAATGATATATTTTCATAAGCCATTGCCACAGATATAATGAATGAACACGATGACAATGAGCCTAAATCTGTTGACAATTGTCATCGTAGAAATGATTGGCCAAAATGGAATGAAGCAATTTAGGTAGAATTAAAATCGCTAGATAAGCGTAATGTTTTTGGACAAATAGTCCATACGCAAAAGGCGTAAAACCTATCGGTTTTAAATGAGTTTTTGTGCGTAAACGCAATTAGAAAAATGAAATTGTTAGATACAAAGCGCAACTTGTTGCCTAAGGTTTTCCTCAAATGCCATGAATCGATTATGATGAGACGTATTACCCAGTAGTTGATGCTACAACTTTAAGATTTTTAATTGGTATGTCTGTTTTTGAAAGGCTGCAAATGCGATTAATGGATGCAGTGACCACATATTTATACGGTTCACTCGATACGAACATATATATGAGAATTCTTGGAGCCTTTCAAATACCAGATGCTTATAGCTCAAAATCTCGAGACTTATTTTCCATAAAAATGCAAAAGTCATTATATGGATTAAAACAATCTGAACGCATGTGGTATAATCGTTTCAGTGAATATTTGATTAAAGAAAGATATAAAAATGACCCTATTAGTCCATGTGTTTTCATTCAGCGATCCGAATCATGATTCACCATAATTGTGTTTTTTTAAATCCCGGTGTTAATCCACATAATGTGGGGTAAGGGCCGGGGAATATCTTACCAGTTTATTTAAAAAACAGAGATACATGGTAGGGGGGCATCAAGCCAATACCTACCAAATTATACAATGTATGTCCACCTTGCAATCAATGTCCACCTTGGCCAGTCGAGTCCTTGAAGGGTCTTGAGTACCTGTAAGTTGTCACATTCAAGAATGATATTAGTATAGTTACTCTCGTTGATCAGGTTGTTTAAATTGATCATGTTTTCACAGAAGATGGCACTATAATTGGGATGAGTATGACTGTGGGAGTTGTAGTGAATCATTTGTCCACAGCTGTCCCGGATAACCAATCTAGAGATAATACTCCTGTTCCACATAGTTCCAATGGCAATATTAATCTTGATGATATTAGCAGGAGGTTTAATCCAACCAATAGCCCGAGTGGTAGGCTTTTGAGGTTTCATTTTTGGTTTGATAATATGAATTTCAGCTATAGGGGGGGGGGGGGTCAGTGGCTTTGGTAATAAGAGGTTTGGCCCTACTGACATCCTGAATCTCCCTATTGATATACTCAATAGCCTCAGATAATAAAATATTAGTATCATCATAGATATACCCATTTCTTCTTTTCCAAATGGTCCAACAAATATAGATGGGAACCTGACTATTTAGATTAGCAAAGTCATCTTTGGCAGTAAACTAGATTTTTAAAATCGAAACAAGAGACTCACTGTTATGGTTCTTGTTATTCAGAAGGTTACCGTAATGGGTCCAAAGTTTTTTGCTAAGATCACAGGAGGTGTAACAATGGTCTCTAGTATAAATGTTGTTGCAAAAGAGACATTTAAAGGGGTCATGATTGCCAAAAATATGTAATTTTTTCTGAAAGGGTTGCAAATTGTTTTTGACCTTCCACATGAAAAAGGAGATTTTTTAGGTATATTACTATTCCAAATTTTCAAAACGTTATGATGAACGTCTCTTTTAGGTCTGATTTCCTCATAGGCACTCCTAAAGGAGTAGGATCCTGTAGGAGTAAGGGTCCAAACCGTGATGTCCTCAGCGGAGGAGAAGTGGGGATTAGTATGCTTGATACTACTGATTATGTATTCGGGCATCATTGTTTGGATCTCCTGAAAGAAAGATGGGTGATGGTAAGCTTCCTTGACGGTCATATGAGGGTGTAGAATGTCCTCAGTGTTCAAATGATCCTTAAGCCTGCCAAATCTAGACCAGTTAGAATCCCAAAATGAGGAATTTCCGTTACAGATCACCTCAGTAGTAAGAGTTTCAAATATATGCTTAACCCTAGTCAAACCTTTCCACATGTAGGATTTATTGGGGTTTTTTAATTGAGAAAGCCAGCGCCCCCAATGGCCAACATTTTTATTGGCTTTCCATAAACATTTCAGATAGAAACACTTTTGTATAGAGAAAAGGTCTCTAAAACCCAAACCGTTTTCATTAACTAGATAGGTAATCTTATTCCACTTTCTCCATATATGACGTTTTTCAAAATCAGCATTATACCATAGAAATCTGGAGCATTTTTGCTCAATAGTATGAAGAATAGTTTTTGGGATAATGGCACTGGCCATGTGATGGAGTGGAAGGGAGGTGAGTACAGATTTAATAGGAGTAATGCGACCACCAGGGTTTAAAAATTTGTTTTTCCAACCAGCCAATTTATGATCCACCTTAATAATATAATATTTTCAAAATGGCAGATCATAGGTTTGCCTTGAAAGATATTAGCACCAAGATGAGTGAAGGGGAAAGAACCTTTTTTAATACCATTTTTTTTTTCAACATTTTTAATGGTTGCTTTAGGGGCATGTTTACCAAGAATGTAAAAACTTTTGGTAGAGTTTATTTTCTAGCCTGAAAACTTTTCATAGTCTTTGATACAAAGATTCAGAGCAGTGAGGGATCTTTTACCCGCATTAGAGAAGATAACCAAATCATCAGCATAACTAAGGTGAGAGATGATAGGTTGAGAGATATAAGTATGAAAAGGAGTGCATTTACTTTCTTCGAACAGTTTGTTGCAGTGCCTCAAAAGAACTTCAGAAACAAGAAAAAAAAAGCAGGGGGAAAGGGGATCATCCTGTTTAATACCCCTATTATGTTTGAAAAAATTATTGGACTGCCCATTAATCAAAACAGGGACCAAGTGCTCTCAAGGTTGTGTTTGATGAGTTGTATGAACCGAGGATGGAAACCGAAAACACTCAGCACATCATAAATAAAGCCTCATGCAACTCTATCAAAAGCTTTTAACATGTCAAATTTGAGAAGAATGTTGTGACCTCCATTTTTATGATCAAGATAGTTTATCATATCTTTAAGCATTAAAATACTGTCATTGAGTTCTTTTCCTTTTTGAAAGGCAGTTTGATTATCAGAAATCAAATTGGGGATTGTTGGTCCAAAATAGGACGCTCGTAGGCTTTTAGGAAAGCTACGTAAGAACACTCAAGCAGAAATCAGGAAAGCAATGCAAATATGGAAAGTAGCTAGAGAGTTTGGTAGCCAGAAATAGCATGTCTGTATTCGAAATATAACTTGCCTTTTATAGGCGCTTACAAATGGTAACCGCCGAATAATAATGACTAAATTAATTACAATATTAATACGAAATTAAATACATGATTAATGGTGCATTGATTACTGGCCGTTACGCTTCTTGGTTGGCTGGCTGGCGGGTCGGCCTGGCTGGCGGTCCGGACGCTTGAGCTTCTCGGGCGGCAGGCTTCCGTCGGGCTGGAAGGCAGGCTCCTAGCTAGGCCGCAAGGCAGGCTTCCAGTTGGCCGGCAGGCAGGCCGTCTTGGGTTTCCACTCCGCTGGACCTCCACTCCCTAATGGGCCCGGTTGGTTGGGTCGACTTGATATCTGGATCGCTGGGTCCACTAGCTGGGCTTGCCTGGCGAGACGACAGTCCTGGGCTTGGGCCTGCTTATCCAAGTTTGGGGCAAAGTCTGATTAGGCGTTGGGCCTAGTCCTATAATCCCATCACGAGTCCCCCACTCCCTTAGTCGAGTAGTAGACTCGGCTAAGAGGGAGTAGTCCAAGTCAGCTGCCAATTTAAAAATGTTCACATACTAGGGAGTAATAATTGTGGATTCTGTAAATCCCACAACTTATGGAAATTTTCCAATTTTAAATAAAGCTCTCAGCTTTAATAGGCTTCAAATTAATTCATTCAACATCCTAGCATTCTAGCAGTCAGCTTTCTTCCAGACTCCAGAATCCAGGTCAGCTTTCGAATATTCCCCAAAATAATTATTTTCGGACCCCTAAAATTTTTTTCCTTTTCCTTTTCCTCTCCTTTTCTTTTCTTTTCTTTTCTTTTCTTTTCTTTTCTTTTCTTTTCTTTCCTTTTCTTTTCTTTCCTTTTCTTCTCTTTCCTTTTCTTTTCTTTCCTTTCTTTCTCTCTCCTGGTTCCCTGCGTGCGTCTTCCTCGCGTCGCCCGCATCACCCAGCGCCGCAGTCAACTTGCCGGGCGGGTTGACCGCCGTATTCCCTCCGGCGGTTTCACTGGGTTGTCTCCTCCGTGCAAGGCGGCCGTCCCGCGCCGCCCACCGGTGACCGACGTCGCCCTGGCAGTCCGGCAAATCCGGCCGGCCGGTCTGGTCGAGCGGCCTGACCGCCGTTTTCCCTCCGGCAGCTCCACTGGGTCGGCCCCGCCGTGCTAGGCGGCTATTCCGCGCCGCCCACATGTGACCGACGCCGCCCCTGCAGTCCGGCAAATCTGGCCGGCCGGTCTGGTCTCCTACCGCGTCCGGCTGGTGCGTCTCGCCTGGGCCGGCGGCCACCCCTTGCTGGTCAGCGTCTGCCAGAGGTTGGCGTCCTGGCTAGGCGCCCCTCTTGTCCATCTCCGGCGTTATGGCTTTCGCACAGCGCCGCCGTCAGCCCCCCAAGGTTGACCGACGCACGCGGCTCACCCCTCTGCCTTGCCGGGCTCTCCCACCAGCCGGCGGCTCTGCCGCAGTGTTTGACGGTGACAGACCCAAGTCGGTCGGGTCCCCACGTAGGTCCACAAGCCGCCCTGCACCTTGGTTCTGAAAATGACGGGCCGGGATGAAGTCTCTATTACCCGGGGCTCCGCGTTGTCCGGCGGTTGTCTTATTGCTGACCGGCTTCACCCCTCATCCAGGTGGTCATGCGGGTGTGAGCCCCCCTATTGGCGCACTCCAAGTTGACGGGCAGGCTTAACGCCTCGTATATGCTAACTCACTTTTTTTTTTTTTTTTTTTTTTTTTTTTTTTATGTGCAGGTGGGCCCCATCCCGTTTGACCATGCAACACGGAGGGTGCTCTTCTCATCAAAACAATGGTCAAGGCTCTCACACAGCAATGCAAGTTGGAGTTCAGCCCCTCTCCAAGCCATCAGACTCGGGACTGTCGGCCATCACTGAAGGCAAGCATGGGGCGGCCATGAAACCCATTCGGGCCAGCCGTGGCCCCAGACCACGTATGCATGTGGGGAAAGTTACCGGACAGCAGGCTGAGATTCTCCCAGAGGTAGCCCCAACTAAGCGGGTCACCGTTTTCGAGGGCCGACCCCTCAATGTTCCGGACAGAGCGCGCACCCAACCCGTGGACGTGTCAGATTCTGATGATGACTCTGGCGCTTGGGAGGACCCGAATTCTTGGTGGGACCTCGACAATAGCGGGATAGTGAACCTCCCCCCTTGCGTCCAAGACGAGGACCTTGCCGTGGCACGTAGTCTGATCGGTGCCGAGTGTTCATCGAAAATCCCGGAGGCTACTGAAGTACTGAGTGATCCCCCGGTCCCTTATTTTGGGGTCCATATCCGCTCTCTGGAGTTAGGGATGGTTGTGCCTCTGCATCCTTTTCTGGTTCGATTTCTTCACTTCCTGGGTGTGGCACCGGGCCAACTGGCTCCGGCGGCTCACATGTTCGTGGCAGCTTTCGTGGCGCGGTGCGAGGACGTGGGCATCACTCCCACAATCGATTTGTTTTTTAGCTGCTTCCAGTGGCGCGCCTCCAGCTTTTTTGCCTCAGTCTCCCAGAGGCCGGTGAGCAAGCTATTCCGGTCGGGTTACCCTGACTCAGGTAGCCGATGGAAGAAGAGGTGGATCTGGGTGTCTGACCCTACCCTTCCATCACCTCCTTTCCAGTGGGGTGAGCGGCTCCAGAAGTGTGATCGGGTCGCCCTTTCCCCTGACCTCAAGTCATCCATCGAGGTGTTGTCCGCAGGCGGCCCCCGCTCCATCAGCTCATACTTAGGTGATCGTCACTTCCCCATTTTAGGTTTGGCTATTTTGTATTTTACCTTACTCATCCTCACATTTTCCTTCCGCAGATGTGCCCGATAGGCCTGAGAAACATATCGTCGGTGCCGAATCCGATGATGATGACGAAGAAGCCCAGCCATTCATCGCTCGTGTAGCTCCCACGGCCACCAAGGAAAAAGAGCATGGAGCTCCCCCAAACCGTGTAGCACAGATTCCGAGGAGGGTGAGGGTTACCTTTGGGCCTCAGCCTGTCGCACCAGCGAAGAAGAAGCAGAAGAGGGATATTGTCGACTTACTGGTCGAATTGGATGAGTCTGATGACGAGGAGGTGGAGCCTCATGTAGCCGCTGCTCCTGTGCTCCCCCAGGTCGCTGCGGGGAAAGGGCACGGAGCCCCCCCGTGCCGAGAGGGGCATGTTTTGGAGGGGGCGACTGTCACCCCGGAATTCCAATCCACCGGGCAGGTGCATGAAGATGCTGGTGAGAGGATGGCTGAGCGGGTTAGCTGCGACACTCAGCACACAGTTGCTTACACATTCCCATCTCCGAGTGCCTCGATCCTGCACGAGGGCTTCCCGGTTGTGGACTATGCTTCAGCGATCTTGCCGCCGGGTGACCTCGCACGTATGACCTCCCAGGGGTTTCAACCCCTCTTGGAGGGTTCCATTCGGACCCATGTTGATGTGAGTGGCCGATCACATCTCCGGCATACTTTGTTTTACCCCTCGATTCCATCATATTTTGTTTGTTTTGTTTTGCAGGGACTTGCTAAGACCGTTGGGGCACTTTGGGCAGCCAACCATTCTCAAGCAATGCTCCAGCGTGAGGTTGATGAAGTTAGAGCCGCCCTACAGGCTAGGGAAAAAGCCTTCTCCGAGTTACAACTTTTGCATGCAAGAGAGCGTGAAGAAGTGGCCAAGAAGGCGATTCTCGAGTTCAAGGCCTCCGACGAATTCCAGAAAACCATATCTGACAGAGTGGAAGCGAAGGAATCTGACTTAGTAAATAAGTGGCTGAAGACTGACGAGGGGGAGTACTGGCATGCTCGTGAAGTTCTGTACGCCTTTCAGAGTGGCAAGTACCTGACACAGCAGAAATTGTATGATCAGTTGGAGGGTCTCGGCCCTGACTTCTATCCATCCGTGCTAGGTCTTCCTGCCCGCATGAAGAAACCTGAGGCTGCAATAGCCCTCTTGCCCCCAGGAGTCTACCGCCAGGAGGAGGAGTCCGGTAACTCGAACGAATGGTGCTGGTTCTTTCCAAGACCTTCGGAGGACATGGTCCCCCTTGCATCCGGTCAGCAGGAGGGAGCTCAAGAGTCCGGCCAAGACTTGGTTGCCATGTTAGATGAGATTCCCGGGGCCAATGGTGATGGGCATGTCCTGCCATGACTTTGTATTTTGCATTTTCCTTGTCTTCCACTTGTACACGTGTTTTGACTGAATGTTTAATTAATTCACACATTTCTTTTCATATACTTTGCGTTGCGAATACTTAAGCAATTTAATCGGGGATCCGGCTTCTCTAACTTCCCAGGGGGCGATTAGGCTGGCGTGGCCAAGCCTATCCACGCCCCTCCTGGTCAGATAGAAGTGATCTGTTCGCTGTTGATATGGAATCAACAAGTATGCGACTTGTTCGGCCAGCAAGGTCGGACATTGAACTTACAAGGAGGACACTTAGGTCGGCACCCCGACGTTCGTGACCCTGGGGGTCAGTCCTACTATCGCCTTGACCCGTCCAGTTCGCCCGGACTTGGGGAATAATCTGGTTACTCCCGCGGGTTTAGCCAAACAACAGGGGCGGACCCTGTATGATCCACCAGAACGGACCCGCACTGCCAACTCGGAGATGGCGAGAGTGCGAGCTGCTTGGCCAGCGATGTCGGGTTGCGAGCGCTCAAAGGGGGGACCCAGAGGTCGGCACCTTGGGCGCTCCCGACCCGGGGATCGGCCCTACTATCGCCTCAACCGTCGCGGTTAGCTCTTTACTTTAGAAAATTGCTTGGATTCTTGAAAATCGATGGGCCATTTTCAGTTCAAGAGCCTGACCGAGGTCGGCCAAACACCGAGGGGGGGCATAGTATCTTTTTTTTTTTTTTTTTTTTTTTTTTTTTTTTTTTTGCCGCCGCCCTTAATTGCTAAGTGAGGTCGGACCTCTTCTGAATGCAAAATATCGCTAGCAAAGTATATTGAATTCATAATGTGGGCGGACCACATGAAGAATTACAAATTGTAATCCTGTGCCCAGAGCACAGGAGTTCATAAAGAAAAGGTGACACTTCAGTTCTCTACTGATAAAACTTCATCAGATGCTCAGCGTTCCAGACGCGGTCTACCAGCCGGCCTGTTGTCGTCTTCAATTTGTATGTCCCGGGTCCGACCACAGCATCAATCACGTATGGGCCTTCCCACTTGATGGAAAGTTTGCCTCCCTCCGCCGGCTTGCTGGCCTTCCTACGCCTTAAGACGTAATCACCAACGTCAAAACTCCGGGGCTGGGCTCGGCTGTCCTGGTACGCCTTGACTTGGCGTCGATAGTTTTCTGCTTTGACGAAGGCCCGGTCCCTCCTTTCCTCAATGAGGTGGAGCTCGGCCCGGAGCCTCTCCTCATTGCTAGCTGGTTCGAACTCTTCCATTCGTCGGCTGGGGACTACGGCCTCGAACGGTGCCCTTGCCTCAAAGCCATAACACAAGGCGAAGGGGGTCTCTCCGGTTGCCTTCCTTGGGGTTGTTCTGAAGGTCCAGAGTATATTGTTCAACTCTTCCACCCAGGCAGTCCCGAGGGCCTCCAACTTCTTTTGCAACCCATCGACGATCGTCCTGTTAGTGTTCTCCACCTGTCCATTTGCCTGAGGGTAGCAAACCGCAACCCGGCTGGATTCTACGCCCCACTCTGCGCAGAACTGCCGGAAGGATTCGCAGTCAAACTGCCTTCCGTTGTCGGAGATTATTTGGAGGGGAACTCCGAACCTGCAAAAAATATTCTTCCATATGAATTTCTTACACTGGAGATGTGTGATGCTGGCGAGCGGCTCAGCCTCGACCCACTTCGTGAAGTAGTCCACTGCGACGATTACAAACTTCCGGTTTCCCGACCCGGTTGGCAAGGGACCGACCAGGTCGACGCCCCATCTCGTGAATGGGAGGGCGGTGCTGATCGGTGTGTACATCGTCGCTGGCCGGCCGGGGCTCTTCTGGAACTTCTGACATGTCTCACACCTCCTTGCATAATCGGCACAATCTCGCATTATCGTCGGCCAGAAGTAACCCTGGAGAACAACCTTCCTGGCAATTGTGCATGCCCCCTGGTGGGCGGAGCACACGCCCCCATGGAGTTCGGAGACGATCATGTCCGCTTCATGCGGGCGCAAACACTTTAGCAACGTCCCATTGTAGGACCTCTTGTATAGCTTCCCGTCCAAGACGACGTAGCCCGGAGCTCGTCGGCGGACTAGCCTTGCTTCATCCTCCCTGTGTGATTCCTACTCAAGCAATGTGAGAGACAACGTTGGCTCTCAATGAAAGCACCAATGTTGGTCCAAAATAGGACGCTCGTAGGCTTTTAGGAAAGCTACGTAAGAACACTCAAGCAGAAATCAGGAAAGCAATGCAAATATGGAAAGTAGCTAGAGAGTTTGGTAGCCAGAAATAGCATGTCTGTATTCGAAATATAACTTGCCTTTTATAGGCGCTTACAAATGGTAACCGCCGAATAATAATGACTAAATTAATTACAATATTAATACGAAATTAAATACATGATTAATGGTGCATTGATTACTGGCCGTTACGCTTCTTGGTTGGCTGGCTGGCGGGTCGGCCTGGCTGGCGGTCCGGACGCTTGAGCTTCTCGGGCGGCAGGCTTCCGTCGGGCTGGAAGGCAGGCTCCTAGCTAGGCCGCAAGGCAGGCTTCCAGTTGGCCGGCAGGCAGGCCGTCTTGGGTTTCCACTCCGCTGGACCTCCACTCCCTAATGGGCCCGGTTGGTTGGGTCGACTTGATATCTGGATCGCTGGGTCCACTAGCTGGGCTTGCCTGGCGAGACGACAGTCCTGGGCTTGGGCCTGCTTATCCAAGTTTGGGGCAAAGTCTGATTAGGCGTTGGGCCTAGTCCTATAATCCCATCAGGGATAATGGTGGTTAATCTGGAAGTTAAAATCTTTGTAAAGATTTTGCAAAAAAAGTTATTGAGACTAATAGGTCTATTTTTAGAAAATTGAAAAGCATGTTTTTCTTTAGGAATAAGGCAAATAAACGTATGACGAATGGCTTTCGGAACAAGGACACCACACATATATTCATCAATCGCCTGCAAAAGATCTTTTTCTATAATATGGTAACAATTCTGGTAGAATTTACCATCAAAGCCATCAGAACTAGCACAACCATCCTTAGTGATTTTTGTGATGGATAGATTTTGATGTTTGGCCTTAAGAGTAAGATGAAAAAATGATTTCTTTGCATCTCCATTCTTAAGGCAATTAATTTTAGCTTTTTGTCTCAGGAAGATCTCTTTAAGTTTAATATGTCTAATGTGATTGGCCTGAGCTTCTTTAAAGAGGATTAAGTTTTCATCAGAAAGTTGATGTCCCAGTTGATCTTCAATAAAAGAGATTTTTTGTTCCACCTCATTGATTTGATCAAAAACATTTTCAAAAACATTTTTATTCCAGGTCCTAAGGTGTTGCTTTAGCTTCTTAAGTTTAATGTGAAATGTGAACATGCCATAGCCATCACACTTAGTGTCCCAAGAGTTAGAAATTTCTTTTAAACAAGAATAGTGAGCCACATGTGTTGGAATTTAAAAGGTTTTGGACTAGAGGTGGTTTTAAATTCCTTGAAGAAGGGGGGATTATGGTCAGAAACAGTTTTTTGAAGAATGTGAACTTTGAAATTCTTATTTAATTGCATAATCTCATCCGAGACCAAAACCCTATCAAGTTTCTTCATCACTAAACCATTCCACTTCTACCCAGCCAAGTGTAAGATCCCCCTTCCATATGGTAATCAATTAAGGCATTCTGGTTTATGAAGTCATTAAACTCAGTAATATCATAAGTACATGGGATAGAGTTACCTTGATATTCTTCAAGATGAGTATTAAAATCTCCAGAAAAAACCCAAGGGGCCGTAGTGTGATTAGCTCTAAGTTGAGATAATTCATTCCAGAGAATTCTTCTTTGGATCCTGTCATTGCGGCCGTGAACAATAGTAACTAAATAGGGGGTAGAATCTCCAATGTTAGTGATAACATAGTCATGGATTGGGTTCCTTCATGAATAATAGAAACATTGTTGTCATTATTCCAGATAATCCAGAATCTGTTATGTAAGTGAGCAAAAGCGTGAGGAAAATGAAACATCTTCATTTTCTTGTTTAAAATTTTTTGTTGGATTTTTTGTTCAATGATGCCAATAAAATTTAAATAGTGTTTTCTTTTCAAATGGTTTAGGTTGTTTAAAGATTGCTCTTTGCCCAAACCAAAGATATTCTAAAAAAGAAAACTAATCATAAAAACTGGTTTGTCGAGGAATTTTTGGACCTAGTGTCATAGGGGGTAACCCTACTAGACTGAGTCTGAATGTTGATTATTTTCTTGTTGTTAATAATTCCATCTTCAGATAAAGATCCCTTTAAATTAATAGTAGGGGCCTCCATTTCAACGTGAGTTCCCTTTTTTAATCACTGGCAGAGAAGTGATTATGCAGAACAATTTATGTAATGTAAGATGGGGGCAAT